AGCGCCTTGGCCGATGCGAGGATGGAGCAGATTTCCCTCAGAGCGTTGTCCACAGCAGGGGATAGTTGTCCCGTTCCTCTGTATTTGATGGTGAGAATGAGACCCTCCAGCTTTTTCACCGTCTGGGCGATTTGTTGGCAGAACTCCTTGTTGGCCTTCGCATTTTTAGCCAAGTTGCATGTTTCTGGACAAAGGTTCAAGGCGACATCCACCATGTCGTTGTTAGGATCAGATGCAGCCATGTTTAGCTGTAGAGACAAAGAGAGATGGTTAGCTTAGGTTAAAATAAAAATTGTGCCACAGTGAGGTGAATTTATGTAACCGGTGTCGATTAGCGGTGTCTGCGTTGTGTTTAATTGAAGGATGAGACCCGAGCATACCGTTGAGCCGATCTCCGTTTATTCACTGACTGACAACAGATATATAACGATCAGCAGTTATTACATTAGTTTTCCCTCACACTGACTCCTCTCACGTGGAACACTTTCTCAAAAAGGGAAGAGGAAAACGTGAGGGACACAAAACAAAGAGGGGAAGTCCCCATAAAAAATAATCTTCTGTGTACAGAGACTGAATTTAGGATGTTTCGCCAACTTATTTCAGATTGTTAGGTATTTAACGTTTAATAAATGAAGAATTAAATACAAAACAAAGAATAGGAATAGCGCAAACTGTCAGACTTCAGCTGTAGAGAGTTAGTGAATTAAAAATGTCTGGTTATTATTAGCTGAGATGCGTGGGCACTGGGCAGGCTCTAACCAGAGTTAGTAACAGTAAGGGGGTGAAAAGTTAGGACGATTCTAAGGGCCCGTAACTGCAGGGGCCCAAACTATTTTAGAACATTAAGAAAAAAATGTTTAAGTAACCTTTCATCATTCATCAATAATTAACATTAATAGAACGTTATATTGATAATGTACTCACTAAACGTATGATTCATTTAACTTATTTTCTTCCAAAAGTTAATTATCCAAAGCCTCTGTACACTCCCTTTTATTTACATGTAATGGTTTGGTCCCGCCTCCAAACACGGTGGGCACCAGCACTTTCTAGCAGAGAGTGAGAGCAGGGCCGTCCCTGGCAAACTTGAGGCCCCACGCAAAGTTATATGATGAGGCCCTCTGTTTCGTGAGCGTCGACGAGAGGGGGGGGGGGGGGGGGGCAGGCGGGTGTTAGTGGAGCCTCCCACGTGCGAAACCGTGCCGCGCCACACTAATTGCGCCGCATAAGCGCAGTTTAGGCTCCCTCCGCAAGATGAGGCCCAACGCAGTCTGCGTGATCTTCCTGTATGGAGGGACGGCCCTGAGTGAGAGCATGTGAGAAGGGATGCCAGTACGTGTGTACCATGTCTCAACAACTCACAAAGTCAGGCTTTCAAAAAAGAAAAGAAAGGAGAGAAAGACAAGAGAGAGGGACTAAAGGGCGACAGCATGTCACCCAGTCTTTCAAAAGAAAAGGTGGGTGTGTTCCATGAGTGGTGGAAATTAGTCTGTTAGTTAAGAGTAGTCCATTGTCAGTGGCGACTGGTCATTAGGGGCAGGTGGGGCACAGCCCCACCTAGTGTCAGCAGAAAGTATTACACATAATGATTACAAAAAATGCAAAGAGATGCAAAAAAAGAAATTAAAAAAAATATAAAATATATTTTAAGGTCATGTTTAATCATCTGATTCGTCTGTACATTGCTGTTTTAGTCCGTGTTCTTCTAATTAGTGTCTACAGTGTGTGCCTATTGAACTGTTTAGAGCCATGTGGGACAAAACCTGATCATGCCCCTCCCTCTCACTGTCAAAGTGAACGGTGACTGTAAAAACTACACTGCGCATGCTCAGAGTATTTTTCAATGTAATGTGTGTGGCAAAAAAAAAAAGACCATAGGGGCACGGAGCTACCATCCCCACCATACGTCATCTCACATCATTCAGAGCTGATTGGCTGTAAGTACGTGTGCCGCGAAAAGTGTGGTGTGTGAAGAGGAGACGAGAGAGCTGCAGTGACGCGTCCTAAAACCAGGAAGTAAGCTGCAAAAAAGCAATGAGATTTCTCCATAGGATTTTAGAAAATAGCTCGAAATAAGATCTGTGGGAAACGTACCTGTATGCACGTTTTGTTCAGCCGGATAACATCCACATGTCTACCCTACTTTTATCATTTTTTTATCATAAATCTATCGATTAGATTTATGATAGACTTTTGAAACTACAAGAAGATAAGGAGGACTTTTACAAAAAAGTTATAGAAATGTTTGTCCAGAAGGATAGGCAAATGGACTTCATCTTCAAGTCAAGGTAAGACCGCAATTTTTGGAAAATGGGATCTTACTAAGAGAGAACAATTCAATATTTAAATGATAAAATTACATTTTTTGGGTATCCTTTTGTTGAACTGTCTGTTTAAAATTAATCGAAGCATCAGACTAAAAAAGCTTTTGAAAATAATATTATATTTTGATTTAGGTCAAAATATAATATTTGTAAACCTGAAGAGTCAGTGCCAGTGCCTCACCAGCCATGAACCTCACTGCACGTCACTGCAGAAGCTTATATATAGACATCTACGTTTTTTGTGCCCCACCACTTTTGTACATATAAAAACGCCACTGTCCATTGTAAATAATATTTGTAATGTTATTTTTTACTAAGCTGACATTAAGTTCTGTTAATATCTTCACAGAAAATACAGAGGTTTTTCATTTCACTGCTCTTTTAGCTGACATTTAATACATGCAGGTACATTTTTAGCAGCTATTCATACTAAATAAGTTGTCCCTCCCCCTGGTGCCAGGACCAACAGATCCATCTTTAGGCTCAGCAGCCCTGTCCCCCCAGAATGCTGAACCTGAACCAGCTTTTCTCCCAACTGAAGGAGGTGAGCAGCATTGTGTTGAATGACATGCCACTTAACATATCTGAAGGGAGACTGGAATACAACAAATATATATATATATATATCAAAACAAAAAGCTAACATCTCATTTCAATTATACATTTCAAACACAGTATTTTACCACATATTTAAGTTATATTTATTTGGATTTATGCATTCATGTTGAGAATGTTCCATTCAAAAATGTTATTATTAAAAAGGCATTTACACCATAAAAGATGGCTATTGAGATCTATTGTCAGGAATGTTAGTGTTATATCAAATAGTGAATTATACTGCAGCAGCATGTTGCATGTCTGCACAGTGTCATATTTTCACAGCTCAGTGTCAGTAAATACTGTGCAGTTAGTATTGGACTACAAGATAGATGCAAGCCTGTACAGGTAGAGTTATTTAAAGCATAAATGAGTGGGTTGGGTTCTGGAGGTGTGGTTACAGTGGTTTGTGCTTGGTTGGCGTGGTCTGTGCCTGGTGGTGGGGCCCAATGTGATATCTTTTCATGGGGCCCAAAATCCCTGGTGGCGCCCCTGGCTCTAACTAAATGTGTTTCCATTCTTGATTTCTTTTTTTGTGTTTAACAGTATGAAACATGAAAGGAAATGTTGATAAAAAGGTCATCAACTGCAGAAGAGTTTTTACAAACAGAGGCTTTTGACCTTGTTAAAAAAAAGCCTGTACATTCACTATCATGCCGGTTTAATCGGGGTCTAATCGGCAAACACCATTACATCCATCTCTGTATTTCTGGCAATAAATATATATTGTTACATCCAAACAAGTCTCTCCTGATTGAACTAAGCTAAACGACATCACTGATTCGCTCACCTCTCGTCAGTGACTTTTATAACACTTTGTTTAGCTGATGCTTTAATCAAAAGCGACACACAATAAGCATTCAATTGCCTTATGTCTTCCTCCCCTCATTCCTCTTGTCTTTGAATATTCATGCAGCAGGAAAGCAAGTTAATTACCAGAATGCATTGACTGTCACTTCTGGGAATAGATCTTATTTTGAGAGCGTGAGTTACAGGTACAAGTACAAGATCTGAGTACTTCTACTTTTACTCAAGTACAAGATCTGAGTACTTCTACTTTTACTCAAGTACAAGACCTGAGTACTTCTACTTTTACTCAAGTACAAGATCTGAGTACTTCTCCCACCTCTGTGTTTCGTTGTCCTTACATTATCCCAAATGTTTTAGGACTCTACTGAGATTGTACTAAAAAACACAACTTGTTCAAATAGAAAAGAGTAAAAGAGTAAAAACAACAAACACAGAAACACAGAAACACAGCACAGAGGTCTCTTTATCAGTAAAGTGTTTTACATAACGTTACATTTTTAACATTTAATTTAGCTGACATTTTTATAAAGCGACACAAAATACGTTCAATGACCCATGAGGATACAAATTCAAAACAGCTAGGGTTTAAGTCTCCAACTTGCAGGATCTCGTGTGTTTTCCAAACATGAATCAATTAAAGGTCCCCTATTATGCAAATCCTCTTCTTCATGTCTCTTCTACATCAACATGTGTCCCCTCTTCTTCATGTCTCTTCTTCATCAACATGTGTCCCCTCTTCTTCATGTCTCTTCTACATCAACATGTGTCCCCTCTTCTTCATGTCTCTTCTTCATCAACATGTGTCCCCTCTTCTTCATGTCTCCTCTACATCAACATGTGTCCCCTCTGTGTAAAGAGACTCTGAAAGTTTCAGGAACAAAGATTCTCTCTCTTTTTGTCCTGATCCATTTCTATAAAAACCTGTCTGAAAATTAGCTGATCAGATTTTGGTCACTTTATGATGTCATCACGATGTTTTGTCTTGTGTAACCATTAGCCAATCAGCAACCAAGGTAACCCCCCACCCCCTCCTTATCACCTGAATCTCCTCCTAGAGCACCATTGAGTTCTTTTTAACCAGATGTCTCTCAGAGGGGCGTGGGGAGGGGCTCCTTATTTTCATCTAAAGTAACAGACAGAGAATCAGCACTTTGGAAACAGGGCTGAAACAGAGGGGATTATGGGTAATGCTGCAATGATCTGTTTGGTGTTTCAGCCAACCAGAGACAGGCTCTGTATATATCTGAGACCTGTGATATATTGATGAGAAACAGTATAATAGGGGACCTTTAAAGTCTGATCTAACAAGTAGAAATCATGCAAAGGGGTTGAAGCAGTGATTTAGGAGAAGTGTGGACGTTCTGCTCTCAGCATCTCGGTCCGCCGGAGTTCGTTTTGAAGAGTCTTTTGATGGCGAAGAGCTGCAGATATCCAGAAACGATGATGACGAGGCTTTGTGTCGCCGACCACCAGGTGACGTAGTTGAAGATGGACTGCAGGAGGTAGTGGTCTTTCCCTTTCCTCATGCGGGCGAAGTTGTAATGACGCCACATGTGGAAGATCTGATTCTGGAGCTTCTGCACACTCTCCTAAAACCAAACATGGTATATATTGTCGTAGCATGAAAAATCAGTAAATCAGCCATTTCAAACCGTTTGCCCCCTTTTTCTATCAAAAAGATCCCTGACAACCCCTGACTTAGAGACATATTTGAATGATATTGAAGGTACAATTAACCCAAAAAGTGAATCCAATAGCTGCAGGTAGTTTCTTAAACGAGCGATTTGGATTAAGTTTGAGCATATTATTCCGGGTAATATCGTGTCAGAGATAAGTTTTTTTTGTATTTAGTGTTTCTACTGTGACATGTCTCCATGCTTTAATGTTCAAAAAGCTCTTTATTTTTCTCATACTGCCTGTGCTGCAGCACCTCTTTTCACCCTCTGTCTGAAACCAGAGCCCAGTCTGCTCTGATTGCAGGACAGCAGAAAGCTTGCACATCTTCCGGCGCAGACTGAAAACTCATCTCTTTCGACTCCACTTCGAGCGATAGAATTACTAACAGAGAACTGCTAACAGAGCACTTATATACTAATAAAGGACTGGCTTATCTAAAGCCAGTTGAGTAGCACTTGAAATGTTTTGGCTCTATGAAACCTGATGTACTTATATGATTCTGTTTTCTTCAAGTTTGTATCTTCCTGGTCGAATGCACTTATTGTAAGTCGCTTTGGATAAAAGCGTCAGCTAAATGTAATGTAATGTAATGTAATGTAATGATTGGTTAGCTGGCCGGCTCTGTTGTGATTGGTCAACCACTTAGAGATGTCCCACATCCCCTTAGCCTATCACGTACAATGTGTCGGAGCGCTAGCCAATAGGAGCATGGAAGCTTGTTTGCGGAGTTAAATTGATTGGAGCATGCCAAACAAAATGAAGTACAAAATCCCGAACTGACTTAAATACCTCAATACCGGCCAAAGTGTTGTTGAGGACTATTTCCCCTTCCTCCGTCTCCATCTTCATCTTCTCGAAGCCTTCGTAGATGACGCCAAAGTTCAGGAACACCCTGATGGCTCCGAACTGGTTGTGGTTCCTGAGACACATCCGGTAAAAACCTGATGGGAGGAATCTGTGATTAGCTTCAGAGACTTCTAAATGTAATTCTTGCTTGTAAAACAAATAATGCCGTGCTTGTTGGTATGTGCTTGTAGAGCTGATTCCTGGGTTTGGAATGTAATCTTTCTGTAGCAATGCAGACACGCCCTCTTATATATATTTATCATTTATTTATGACACGGATAGACGTGTTATATTTTAAAAGGAATGAGCAGTGACCGTGCCATAGTTTCCTTTATAGCCTAACGTTAGCCGCCTTTAGCTTAGCGGTGGTGACGTGAAGTCATGTGACCATGCTGTAGTTCCTTTATAGCCCAACATTAGCCGCCTTTAGCTTAGCGGTGGTGACGTGAAGTCATGTGACCGTGCTGTAGTTCCTTTATAGCCCAACATTAGCCACCGTTAGCTTAGCGGTGGTGACGTGAAGTCATGTGACCGTGCTGTAGTTCCTTTATAGCCCAATATTAGCCGCCTTTAGCTTAGCGGTGGTTACGTGAAGTCATGTGACCGTGCTGTAGTTCCTTTATTTTGTAGTAGTCTTTAACTGGATGCTGTGATACACACGTCTGTCAGTATAGTATGACATTTTTTCTGATGGTCCTACCTGTCACCTCGGTCTGGAAGTTCATTTGACCGACGGGGGCGTTTTCAGAAACCATGAGGTCGCCCTGCGGTGAGTTTACCGTCACAAACAGCCGGTGATCGATGGCTATCCCCGTCACCCACTGCACCTGAGAGCACATATTAAACAAGTCCACAAGTTGTATTCAGAGCCTTTGAAGTACAAGTACAAATACAGCAATGTGGACTTTTTTGCACTACTTTTTATTTTGTATTTTTGTATTTTATTATATATGTTGCATTGTTGGAGGAGCTCAGGTCAGAATAATTTAATTGCCATTTCTACACTGTAGCTTTGTGCATATGACAATAAAACCTTCGAATCTTGGTGTATTTCCACTTTATGCTATAAAATTCTTCCACTTTTACTCCACCAGGTTGTTGACATCCTAATACACAAGTTCCAATAATTAAAGTACATTGTTATGCTAATCCTTTTGTATTTCACCTTGAATGACTTTTTACTTTTTGACATGTTATCAGTATTTCTGCCGGTATGGGAACACTGATCCTGATCACATGTTTCAAAGTCAAACCGGTTCACCTTGACAGTCAGAGTGATAAGCCTGGAGATATTCAGATATTAAACTAAAGTACAAATAGAAATACCACAAGTAAATGTTACATTAAAAGTCCTGCATTCAGTCTCTTAAGTACAATTACAATGTATCAGCATCCACATGTACTTAAAGTAAAAGTACACACAGTAATTTGCACTAGAGTAAATGTACCAAGTTCAGTTATTATGCTCCAAATATCTGGAACAAACTCCCTGAAATTATTATGTTAATTTGCAACTAGTTGATGTTGAATAAGTGTACCTTAAGATAAAGTGTTATCGTATATTTTGTACTTTTAATGCTCAATAAAATATATTTAAAAAAAACAGTCATTAGTGCAGGTTAATGGTAAAAGCTCTCACCAGGTAGGACAGGTAGAAGCTTCCACTCTGGTGTGCAAAGTGCCAGAAACACTCCTCTCCTGCAGCTAGAACCTCCACAGCAAAGTCATATTTGTCGGATCCTTTGAATAACCCTACGTCGGACTCGTGGAGCGACGGCTCTGACTTCCTGCTCCAGACACTCTGAGAGATCAACGCTAACAGAAGAGCAGTGATGAACAACATGACTGCAGAAAACTGTGGAGCAGTTGCTGCGAACACTCAGATATCAGCTGAGAAAAAAGAATTATTAACCATATACAAACACTTGATAACATATCAAAGAAAGCACAATCACAGACGGTGATTATATTATGTTAGATATATTATATACAATGTGGGGGAAACTTCTGTGTAGCAATGCAGTGGGAGTCACCGACTCAGGAAGGAGACACGGTGAGAGTTGGAGCTTTGATGTCAAACACTGATGGGTTTATTCAGAGTATCGGCCGGAGGATTCACATCACAAGTCACGAGTCAGAGGTTCTGACTTCACGGGAGAGTTGCCACGTCAATTCTGAAGAGCCTCTCTCTATGCTAGACCTTTTAACTGGTTCACAGAGAGAAATCAACATCTCTGAAGGAGTAGACTAAACAGCTGGGAACACTGAACCACCTGCGTCCGACACTCATGGCCTCAAAGATTTCACACCTTAGAGTCCACAAACACCGATAAGGAAGTGCCTCAGTGTTCTCACAACAATTACCATTCGTGCCAGACAAGTTGACCGGTCACAAACTGGTAACAACAACACATATGGCACCAATGCCTTTCCTTAAAGGAGATAACAGACGTCAGAGTATATCATAAAACATCACAGAGCAAAAGGTTAGATATCTAGAAGAATTATTCCTTAACATACAACATATTGAAATGCAATATGTGCAACTGGTAAAGGAAGAGCTTATTTTAAAATACTTGCCGCTGCCTTTTATTAAATCAAATAATTATTAATATCTTACACATATCTGTAACTTTTATTTTTGTATTTTATACCCATCATATTCTATTCAAGCCTTTTTAAATGTCTATTCTATCGCTCTTCAACGTCTGTTTTAAGAAACAATGTTTATGGCATTTTATTATAACCGGAACAACGTTTTTTAATGTTATTGTGAACCCTTGTTGTTGAAATGTGATGTATGACTAAACGTATTACTAATTACTACATTATTTAATGCATCAAAGATCACTGTGGAGCAGCTGCTGCTAACGCTCAGATATCAGCGGACAAAAGAATGATTAACCATTTACAAATGCCTGATAACATATCAGAGAAAGCACAATCCTGCACGCTGTTTGTTCCAGGTTTCATGAAAGTCATTCAGTGATTAGTTCATATCATTGCAAGTACAATTTCTATATCTCAATGCCATACGCTTGACAACATATTTCAATCAGGAGAGATTTGTTTTGATGTAACAATATATATGTATTGCCAAGAATACACAGATGTTTGGAGTAGTCCCGGACGACATTGTCCTTTCCAGACATTATTCAAACGCTTTTGCTTCCCTAATTGTTAGGCGACGTATACTTATGAGGTGGAAGCTGGAGGCGTCTCACACTCATGTCCAGTGGGTGACAGAGCTTATGTAGTTTCTACACATGGAGAAAATAAAGTGTACTTTGGGTGGCTCCACTCGTACATTTTATAGGACATGGCAACCATTTTTAACGTACATGGAAAGTTTGAAACCGTGTACTCTTCCCTAACTGACCAACCTTTTTATGTGTGTTGTTGTTTTGTGCTGTGATTTCAACCATTTGTTTGTCTATCATTTTAAATGTTTTTGTACTATTAATGTTTTAAAAAGGGGATACAAACATGGACAACCTGCACACCTGTTTTTTTTTGGTCTGGACGTAGATTATTCCATTAGTACAATATAAACTTCTCGCTATAAATGTAATCAAAAAGCATTTTAACGGCCAAACTATCCTACAATTTAGGATTCAAAAGAAATCGGGTGTCGGCCATTATTTTTTTTCTCACTGGGAAAGTTTGCGATCACGTGACACGGACACTGGTCATTAGACATGAATAGGAACAAATATTGTATCCATGTCACATCTTGAGAGGGTTATTTGTGAATATACTACGTTTTGCCGTGTGGACCAACGTTTTTTTGTGAGACTGGGTGGAGTATCATTTAGGAGGGGGAAACTGAGGGGGTCTAGACTCTGGTGGTGATGATGAAGGCATGAAGGGATTGATGGAGGTCTGAAGAGGAGAGGTTTCAGCTTGACCCTGGATTTGGAGGACGGCTGCGTTGAGTTACCTGCAAGCCAATCTAACTTTATTTATATAGCACATTTAAAAACAACAGAGTTGACCAAAGTGCTGTGCATCAATAGATGTATAAAAAGCAGCAGAAATACATTTAGACAAAACCGATAGGACAAAAAACTAATGTAAAAACACGAGACAATAAAACCATACTTATAGCCACAGACTGAAAAAACTCTCCTACATGATGTAGAAACAATATAAAACACAAGAAAATAAAAACAACCCAATTTAAAAGCACAGAATGACAGCTGTCAGGAGGGGGAGAGCAGATTTAAAGGTTGCACACTGCGCTTTGATTGGCTTGTGGGAATAGAGACGAAGGGGGAGTGAACGCCCCCCGATCGCTGATTGGAGTGAGATGGAAATATGTGAATGACTGGATATAAAGACGGTCTTCCTGGTTGAACTTGAGCTTCATATAAGAAACCACAAGGGAGAGAAAACCCCAACAACTGAACTTTAGCCTCTGCAGACCATTTACATGCACACAAACCTATAAGAGGAAACCCCAAAAGCATAATAGGGCCTCTTTAAGCAAAGGGAAGGCAACAAAATGTGTACAAAACATCACAAACGGCTCACGTATGTATTTTTATCAAGTTTATTCGTGCTTTGTAAAGAAGTAGAAGTAGATAAACACCAGAACTACACTTAAACCGGTTTACAGTAAATACATTAAGACCTGGGTTCTCTTTTTTTATGGATGCAGTTATCTGATAGTTATCTTAAATACAAAAGAACCTTTTAGATGACAGATCTGTTGTTTCGTGCCTCTGTCAGCAGCGAGGCTTCTCCTCCTTGGTGCCGCTCTTGGTGATGAAGAGTCTCTTGAGGAAGAGGAGCTGCAGGTAGCCCGAGGTGACGATGAGGAGGCTGAGGAAGAGCGACCACCAGGTGACGTACTGCGAGTTGGACAGCAGCAGGAAGAAGTCTGCGCTCTTCCTCATGCGGCCGAAGTTGTAGTAGCGGAACATGTGGAAGACGTGGTTCTCCAATTTGTGAGTCGCACCCTGCAACAAATATTACAGGTATTACTGCTGCTGTCATTAGAACTACAAACATGTTGGGCTATAAAGGAACTACAGCACGGTCACATGACTTCACGTCACCACCGCTAAGCTAAAGGTGGCTAATGTTGGGCTATAAAGGAACTACAGCACGGTCACATGACTTCACGTCACCACCGCTAAGCTAAAGGTGGCTAATGTTGGGCTATAAAGGAACTACAGCACGGTCACATGACTTCACGTCACCACCGCTAAGCTAAAGGTGGCTAATGTTAGGCTATAAAGGAACTACAGCACAGTCACATGACTTCACGTCACCACCGCTAAGCTAAAGGTGGCTAATGTTGGGCTATAAAGGAACTACAGCACGGTCACATGACTTCACGTCCCCACCGCTAAGCTAAAGGTGGCTAATGTTGGGCTATAAAGGAACTATAGCTCGGTCACATGACTTCACGTCACCACCGCTAAGCTAAAGGAGGCTAATGTTGGGCTATAAAGGAACTACAGCACGGTCACATGACTTCACGTCACCACCACTAAGCTAAAGGAGGCTAATGTTGGGCTATAAAGGAACTACAGCACGGTCACATGACTTCACGTCACCACCGCTAAGCTAAAGGAGGCTAATTTTGGGCTATAAAGGAACTACAGCACGGACACATGACTTCACGTCACCACCGCTAAGCTAAAGGTGGCTAATGTTGGGCTATAAAGGAACTACAGCACGGTCACATGACTTCACGTCACCACCGCTAAGCTAAAGGAGGCTAATGTTGGGCTATAAAGGAACTACAGCACGGTCACATGACTTCACGTCACCACCACTAAGCTAAAGGAGGCTAATGTTGGGCTATAAAGGAACTACAGCACGGTCACATGACTTCACGTCACCACCGCTAAGCTAAAGGCGGCTAATTTTGGGCTATAAAGGAACTACAGCACTATAGTACTATTTGTGTCTGTGTGTGTGTGTGTATGTGTATGTGTATGTGTATGTGTATGTGTATGTGTATGTGTATGTGTATGTGTATGTGTGTGTGTGTGTGTGTGTGTGTACCTCTATGACACTCAGTGTGTTGTTGAGGTCTTTGCTGGCCTCCTCTTTCTTCTTCTTCTTTTCCTCTTTGGTCTTGTCGGGGTCTTTGTATCCGTCGTAGTAAACGCCGAAGCTGAGGAACACCTGCATGGTGCCGAAGTGGTTGTGGAAGTTGCTGAAACACATCTGATAGAAACCTGTAGAGACATAACATTATATAAGATATATTATGTATAAAATATTGAAATGATTCTTCAGTCAAAGTGATAGCCTTAATGCTGCACCTGGTAAAGGAAGGGCTTGTTCTTAAAATACTTGCTGCTGTCTTTTATTAAATCAAAGAATTATTATTATCCTACACAGCACTGCAACTTTTATTCTTTATTATGTATTTTATACTTCTCATTTTCTATTTTAGCCTTTTTAAATGTCTATTCTATGTCTCTTTAACGTCTGTTTTATGTGTATTATAACTGGAACAACTTTTTTGTATGTCATTGTGAAGCCTTGTTGTTGAAATGTGATGTATAAATAAACATGCCTTGTCTTAATCTATACACTAATCAATAATGTTCTTTATTAATCCATAAAAAAACCTAAACATGGATTTGTTCTGCAGATTAACAAAAAATCAGACATAGTTTAGTGGAGTAAAAAGAAACAAATCTGCCTCAAAAAAGTATTGAAGTGAAAGAATAGGAAGCAGAAAATGGAGATACTCAAATAAACCTTGACGTTATATTTAAGTATAATATAGGATTTCCTTTATTTACTTTATTGATCCCACATTGGGACAGTGTTTCTCTGTCACATCAGCATGTTAAAAAAGGCATTGCACATCATTGAATAACTAGAGAATGCAATTCCTGAAGAAATTGCTAGTGGGAATGCTTTATGCTGAAAATCTGACGCTAAACTGCTATGCTGAAATGTAATGTGTAAGAAGAAAGTGAAGAATTTAGATTGAAATGATACATGAACACTGGGGGCTTGAATGTGTGATGAGAGAAGAAAAAAAAGTAAAAAGGCTTGGAAAAGCAGCAGAATATTTGAAATGCAAACTTTTGAACTAACTTGATGGCGAATGATTTGTCGCCATGCCAACGGCATTTGATGACATCCCATAATACGCTTAGATGCTTTTATGGCTGCATCATTACCAAACCTGTGAAGTTTTGGGCCATTTGGAGCATTTTCACTGAAGTTATGAGAAAACCGTGTTTCATGGCGGGCATTGTGTTGCCATGGCAACGGCATGTCCCGTAGATGTCTTCACGGCTGGACTGTTAGCACACATGTGAAGTTTTAGCACTTTTTGACACTTTTCATAGGAGTTAAAGCAATATTGTGTTTTATTGCAAGGGATGCGTTGCCATGGCAACAGCTTTTGAGGAAAACTCACTAATGGTATATAGACATGTTGAGTGCTGGACCATTAACTGTCATCTGAAGTGTGGTGGTGTTTGGATCATTTGCATAGGTATCACGACAACATCGTGTTTTATGGCGAGGGATGCGTTTCCATGGAAACAGCCTATGGTGAGATCTCAGATTTGGCGTAGAGCTGTTGAGGCATGGACCGGTGATATACAAGCGAAGTTTGGGGACGATCGGACCGTGTCCATTGGAGTTACATCGACATCGTGTTTCACTGTGTTTCACTGACTGCTGTCAGTTGGAGTGATGACATCATCGTGTTCCATTACACAGGTGTTTATAGTTGAGCTAACGAGCTATGAAAAGATCAAAGGTTTGCATTGTTCTGAATGAGAGATGAACCTCTTACATGTGAACGTTTTGTGGAAGAACGATAACAGATATCTGTGAAATTTCAAAACGTGAAGCATGTCAAGGAAGTTGAGTATCTGAAGTGTAATTTTTGTGTACTTTCGAGTTAATAATGTGACCTTTTTGGCAGTTTAACTAAAGGTGTGCGGCTGCTGCTGTGAGGAAATATCTGCCTGAAATTACAATGGGCTTTAATGGAGACATGTTGAACGTTTTTGTCACTTCATGCCCTCAAGAGGCATTTTGTTTAATTATTTTTGCTTAATTATTTGTCATTTTTCAAGCTACGAGATGTTTTCCTACGTTTGTCATGAAAAATGATGTCTCAGGAATGTAGGGTTTGGGAATTATGGCAGTTTAAAAAAAAGATATGAAGGCACATTTCAAGATTTCTTACCCTCTAGCTGTGACATCACGCACTCTAGTTAATGTTAAAATCTGAAGAAAACCTCTTTAACAAGGTCTGAACAATGTTTAATATCTCTAAAAGTAAGAATCAGATTTAAAAGTTGTGTTACACGAATAATGTCAGAAAAATGTGTAACATTTTAAAGTTGGAATGAGGTTTCTGAGTGAAAGTATGAATGAACAGTTAGCAGTTGAAGTCGCATGAAGATTTGTTGAAGTCTGAAGAATATCTCCATTGACTTCAATGGTTAAAATGTGATGTATTATGGGATGTATCTCTGGAATTATGAAAGTTATGAATGATAAAAGTAATAGCAGTCGATTCCCGACCGAGCTGAACGTTTTGATGTTTGAACGGAGTTTCTGCGATGTTGAATGTGGGAGGAGAAGACGGACAAAATAATTGGACGGAATAATAATAATAAACTTTTCGTCCGTAGCATAACATATAGTGGAATGCTGTATCAGCATTCCAACTAAAACATGAAAACATGAAATATAACATAGAAAAGTTGACAGAGAAAGATACAAGTGTGTGTGTGTGTGTGTGTGTGTATGTGTGCCCGTGTGTGTGTGTGTGTGTGTGTGTGTGTGTGTGTGTGTGTGTGTCTACCTGTTTCCTCGGTCTCAAAGTTGATCTGACCCTTTGCGTCATCCACAGTCGCCATGATGAGGCTGCTGGGAGCGTTCACAGTGACGGACAGGTGCCTGTCATGGCCGACGCCCGTCACCCACTGCACCTGCACACAGACAATAACAACAACAATAATAATAACTTTATTTATACACCGCATTTCAAGCAAGATGCAGCCCAAAGTGATTTACAGAGCGAGACAAGATACATAAAGACAATAACAAAGATATCATTTACATAGCAATATTTGGCAGAAATGTGATATTCAGTATAAAATGACAACTTTGCACATGTTATGTCGCTCATAATATGATTTGCTCAAAAACTGATGCACAATTTCGATTTTGACGACCATGTGCTACCATGTGTTCAAGATTTCACGAATATATATATATATATACATTTAAAGCAAAGACGTGCCATGAAAGATGATTAAAAAAAACATACATTTTGTAAATGTATTCAGGTTAAAATGTCCACTTTGTCCATAAATATCTCACATAAAACACGTGTGCTCCCAAACTGATTGACCATTTGGATTTACTTACCCTACAACCTCTCCGTTTAAAGCTTCTCTGTGTTTAGAGAGGGCATGATGCTCATTTTAACAGTCATATTTGTGTATTTTGTGCCTCTAAAACAATAATAAAAAGCCAATCTGAAGAGGTTGTTTTGTTTTGTGCTTTTTGTGAAAGTGTGTTACTGACAGCTGTGATGAAACACCAGCTGCCTTTGAGTAATGGTTCAAATAAGACGTCCTTCTCCCTGCTCCTTTCCATTATGGTCTGAACTGCTCAAAGGCTTTTTAAAAACCTCACTTTCAGAGGCGTTAAAAGTAAAAGTAAACGTTGAAATATTCCTCTCGTGTCGAGGCCTCACCATGAAGCTCAGGTAGAATCTCTCTTCCCCATTTAAAGCTTCCCTATGTTTAGCGAGGGCATGATGCTCATTTTAAGGATCATATTTGTGTATTTTGTGCCTCTAAAACAATAATAAAAAGCCAGTCTTATTATGTTTTGCTTTTTGTGAAAGTGTGTTACTGACAGCTGTGATGAAACACCAGCTACCTTTGAGTACGGGTTAAAATAAGACGTCCTTCTCCCTGCTCCTTTCCACCATGGTCTGAACTGCTCAAAGGCTTTTTAAAAACCTCACTTTCAGAGGCTTTGAAAGTAAACGTTGAAACATTCCTCTCGTGTCGAGGCCTCACCATGAAGCTCAGGTAGAACCTCTCTCCGCGGTGAGCGAAGTGCCAGAAACACTCGAGGCCGGCGGCAGGAACCACCACGGAGAAGTCGTACTGGTCGGTTCCCCAGAACAGCTCCTGGTCCGTCATGTTTCCGTGGAAGTTTGTCTGCGGCCCGCCGAGAACCGGACCGCAAAGCACGAGGAACAAAAAGGGGATAATCCTCCACATGTCTGACAACACGAGGAGCTCCTGTCCAAATGAGGAGGTTTGCTAAAGTCTGAGTGAGGGAGGGGAGAGATGAGGAATGATTAACCAGCACCAACAAGTCAGTGGGAAAACTGGGCTGCCTCACAGGTGGGATGAAGAGGGTGTCACCTCTCCCCTCTCCTCCCCTCCCCTCTCTCCCAACAAAATCCCAGGACTAGCCCTTGTAAGCAAATGAGCTGAGTAATACTGCTCCATTTATAAAGATATATATATATAAAGGTTTCCAAGAAGAGATTAATTGAAAAAGAGAGACTGCTCCACCTACGCTATTAATTTCTACATCCATCAAATTCAAAATCTAATTTCCTTAACCTGTTAAGCCCTGAGCCTGTTTTTCAGGTCTCAGGCTCGAAAATTACATTCCCAGAACAAATGACCATATCTTTCCTTCTAAAAGGGTTAAATTAATAATCTTTTTTCTCAAAGTCATGATAAACCTGTGAGTTGGATGTAGAAAAGTCAGAATCAATATAGATGTTTTTTATTTAAAAGAAAATTCAGATTTTACATAGTAAAAAACTGTAAATGATAGTGTCCGTCCAAAAATAATTTTTTACTTATAGTGAAAACCACCCTTGGATGATGGGTTAGTAGACTAAAAGCTTTAGGAATCCAAAGTACAACATATAATAAGTACCCTGTATCAAGATTGATGCAAAACAAGTGACATTTTACCTTTTTAGAGAGATTTAGCAAAAATAAACCACTTCTGGGGTCATTTGGGTGGATTTTCCATATCTCTGGCCCCCCTTGCTCGATGTTGATGGTTGACACCTCTTTCTGACCGTTAGAGCCAATAGAATCGAAGGGGGAGTCCCCCACAGACACACGTTGTGAAGAGAAAAGGTGGGGGCTTCGCGCATGTAATTTTGCATCAGAGTGAACCTATCTCTAGCTTTGACATCTGGAAACGGAAAAGCAGTTTTAATGCTTATGGATTATCAGAAATCATTTCAAAGGGACACAGACACATTGGATTAACCTATGGATTAACTTCAGCAGTGTTTTTATCGTTTTAATGCCATTGAAGACCACTTTGGAGAGACTACAGAGCCAAGGTAAAAATGTTAGCATTTTTAGCTACCTAGCGTCACCTGTTTTGATGTCCGTTTTTGCTTATAACGTCGCAAATACGTATAATTCAGTGGTAATGTCGGTGTCAATAGATTCTGTGTCACCTCACGATGTGAATCGATGTGTTGGATGTGGTGAAAAGATAAATACCGGTGCAGTAAGGTGTTAGCATTTTTCGCTCGTTGCTAATTCAGAGGCTCAGTGTTAGCATTGTGGGTTTTCTTTTGAAAAATAAATAAAAATGATCAGTTAGATGAGTTTCTTCCAGTTACATGGATATAAAACATTCATACTTTTATTAAATGAACATGCCCTCAGACACTGTTTCCTGCAAGATGTTGCGGCAGTACCCCGGTACCGGGGTCTCTCGGGCTTAACAGGTTAAGCGTGTAATGAATATAAGTTGTTGAATTGAGAAGTGATCACAAAAAAAGGACATGTTGTGTCTTAAAGAGGCCTTATCATGCTTTTTGGGGTTTTCCCTCTCCTCTAGTGTATTCTATAGGTTTTAGTGCATGCAAATGGTTGCAAAGGCTAAATAATATTCCCATTAACATAACGGTGTGTAATTACATTTCCATTATTCTTTGTACTGCTCTGTTGATTGAACTGACTAGTAAAGTAAAGGCAAAGTAAAAACAAGAAAACCATCAAGATTGAATTTCTGCGATTCTTTATTTACGCTCAACTCACACAACATGTATAACCCAACACCATACGCTCAACTCACACAACATGTATAACCCAACACCATAGAGCGGTGCAGGGAAGACGTATTTTTGTAGGCCGACCCGGAAGGAAGCTGCTCAAGGGTTCCCTCGACAAAAATATTAATTAATATTGTAAAAAATAAGATCTGTGGAAAACGAACCTGTTTGATAAATGCACGTTTTGTTCAGCCGGATAATCTCCACATGTCTACCCTACTTTTATCATTTTTGAATCATAAATCTAATGGCCAGAAGCGAAATGCTAACGTTATGCTATAAAGGAACTACAGCCGAGTACAGCAGCACGACTTCAACTTCACGACAACTTCAGATCCATATTCAAACATACAGATTCTAAATGTTACGAGTTGAAGCGTTTGTTTGAACACTTTGCAGGAGGCAGGTTCTTGCTTTCAAGCAGAACAGGGCAAACTAACTTAGAGGAGTGTTTACGTGTTCGGCGTAATGACGTACAACGACCTCCACAACTTCTGTAGTCCTATTCAGCCACTTGGTAACAACCATCGTTTTTCAGACACGTCAACTCTTCAGAAATCACCAGTTGGGTCACTGCTGATGGATTTAATGTCGTAGAACAAAACGTGATCCGTCTCTTAAATTTGTGTCAACCACAGACCTTACTTCCAGATATTTTCCAAAAACATGTTCAAAAAACCCATTTGCTCTGAGACGAGGGAACAGGAAGTGGTAAAATGCTAACTCACTTCAGGGTTTTAGGACTCATTCCTGCACCACTCTATTAAACATATCAGCAGCAAAAAAAACTTGAAAAACATCTCTGCAACTTCACTCTTTTTTGCTTCTCTCACCAGCACACTTGTGTTTATTTAAATTGAACACCCGAGTGAAACCTGTCTTGCAAACTGAGCAGCTGTATGGTTTCTCCTCGCTGTGGACAGTTGCGTGTTGTCTCAGATTGGACCTGTGGGTGAAGCCTTTACCACAAACCGTACAACTGAATGGTTTCTGGCCAGAGTGGACAATTGAGTGTTGTGTCAGATTTGTCATTTGTGCAAAGTCTTTTCCACAAACTGAACAACTGAATGGTTTCTCCCCCGTGTGGACAATCAAGTGTTTTCTCAGACTTGATTTGTGGGTGAAGGATTTACTACAAAGCGTACAACTGAACGGTTTCTCCCCGGAGTGGACAGTTGAGTGCTGTCCCAGATTGCCACGTGTTGCGAATGTTTTACTACAAACTGAACAGCTGAATTCTTTCTCCCCTGTGTGGAGGTGGACGTGTTTATTCAGAATTGACTTGTATGTGAAACTTTTATCACAAACTGTGCAACTGAATGGTTTTTCCCCATTGTGGACAGTTGAGTGTTTTTTCAGATTGGACCTGTCGGCAAATCTTTTACCACAAACCTTACACTTGAATGGTTTCTCCCCTGTGTGGAGGACCAGGTGTGTTCTCAGATTGCCTCTTGTTGCGAATGTTTTACTACAAACTGAGCAGCTGACTCGTCTCTCCCCTGTGTGGACAGTATAGTGTCTATTCAGAATAGACTTGTATGCGAAACCTTTACCACAAACAGGACAACTGAATGGTTTCTCCCCTGAGTGGATTCTCATGTGCGACGCCAACTCTCCTCTCCTTTTAAATGTTTGTTGACAAACTGAGCAGCTTTGAGGTTTTGCTTCACTATGAACTTTGAGGTGTTCGGTCAAACCTGATCTTTTCGCAGATGTGAAATCACAGAAGGTGCAACTATAAAGTGTCTCTCCAGTGTGTTCCTGCAGATTCCCCTCATGCACAAAGCTTCTAGCACGCCCATCATCACCCTCAATGCCACTTCCGGGTACTTCATTGTCTTGCAGAGGGTTTAAATCGGGTTTCTCCCAATTTCTGCTGTCGTCAGTCTTGTACTCAGAGTGTGAACTTGTGTATTGAGTAGCTGGTTGTAAAGGATGATCTGGATCTGATCCTTCACCCTCCTCTTCATCGGTTTCTGTTGTCTCTACCTCTCGGTTATTCTCAGTCTTGATTTCATGAAGCGGTGAGGAGGACTGAGCCTTCTCTTCATCCTCTTCATCCTCTTCTTCACTCTTCACAGAAGTGAAAGTATCAGCCACTTCCTGCTCTATCTGCAGACTGGACCATAGTTCCTCTTCTTCCTCTTTAATGTGGGGGGGCTCTGGGTCCTCCTTTACAACACTGAGGCTACACTCCTGCTGCTGGGTATCTGTGGAGATCAATGACATGAATGCAGGTGTGTTAGAAGACTCTAATTTCATGTTAACGCGCAATCATTTATTATCAATTTAATGAGAAATCTCCCCACTGTGTGTACTAGGGGTGGGGGAAATAATCGATACAGTATAGTATCGCGATACTTTGCGTGGCGATATTTTATCAATACACGGATGCCAAGTATCGATATTTTTTTATATAAACTGTAGCATATCCCTCCGAAAGATTGACGTATATAAAACAGGAAGTTACGTTAACCTGTTCCACTCTGAGCCTGTTTTTCAGGTCTCAGGCTCGAAAATGACATTCCCAGAACAAATGACCATATCTTCCCTTCTAAAAGGGTTAAATTAATAATCTTTGTTCTCAAAGTAATGATAAACCTGTGAGTTGGATGTAGAAGTGTCAGAATCAATATAAATGTTTTTTATTTTAAAGAAAATTCAGATTTTACATAGTAAAAAACTGTAAATTATAGTGTCCGTCCAAAAATTATTTTTTACAGATAGTGAAAACTACCCTTGGATGATGGGTTAGTAGACTAAAAGCTTTAAGAATCCAAAGTACAACATATAATAAGTACCCTGTATCAAGATTGATGCAAAACAAGTGAAATTTGACCTTTTTAGAGAGATTTAGCCAAAAACTGGGCCATCTGGGGTCATTTGGGTGGATTTGACCTATCTCTGGCCCCCCTTGCTCGATTTGGTTGGTTAACATACCCTTGTGACCGTTAGAACCAATAGAATCGAAGGGGGAGGCTCCCACCCAGACACGTTGTAAAGAAAAAATGTGGTTGCTTCGCGTGTGGAAAACGAAACCAAACTGGAGGAATGTCTCCTTCTGGAGTTTGGAAACTAAAACGCAGTTGTATTGCTTATGGATTATCAGAAATAATTCCAAAGAAGGCACAGACACATAGGATGAACCTATGGATTAACTGCAGCATCGTTTTTTTATCGTTTTAATGCCATTGAAGACCACTTTTGACCAAGGTAAGCCATATTTACGTGTTTAGCTTCTTAGCTCCACATGTGATGATGTACGCTTTCGTTTAGAGCGTCGCGAATGTTTATCACTGAGTGTTGAGGTGGGCACCGGTAGATTCAGTGTCTCCAGGACACCAAAAAAGAGTGTTT